TGCTTTAAAAAGTGACTCCATTTTCTTCGTGTTGATAAATAGTTGGATAAAAGACAAGGTTCAAAGTCAAAATGATTTCCCAAATAGCTACATATGTTTTTTCCACAATTTTCCCAGTTGGAGAGCTGTATTTATTATTCTACATCTCTACACATTTTAAGCGTTATCTACCACATTACTTTGAATGCCTCATATAACTTAACTAATGACAGGTACTTGTCATTCCCGTATGGGAAATTAAGGCCCACAGAGGTTATGTGACTTAACTAAGAGCATACAACTATGGAGGCCATATGTGTCTTTCTTTATAGCTCTATTCTTGACTCCTGTTATAAAATTGTTCTGTAATTCTTTGAATGGCTTCCAAATAAGAAGATAATCAAAATATGAAAATATGAGAGACTTTGACAGTCTAATCAGAAGACTTAAAGATAAAAGTGATATCCTGAGTATTTCAATTATTCTCCAGGAACCTCCCTCCATATTAAGGCTCAGAAGTGATTCCTCAGTCATCTTTGGTGTTTGCCTGCTCCAGATGCCTTCATAGGACAGTTGGGGAATGTTCACCATGATCCCTTTCAAGACCACCTACTGTTCTACCATTAGATTAAATCCTACCTGGCTTGTGTGTTTCCTTTAACTGCTTCTAAATCATAAATTGATGTCAACACTGTTTTGCTTCCAAAAATACATCATGCAGTACCTCTTCTAAAAAGGTAACTATAATTTACCAACCAAAATTCAAAACAGAATTACCTTATACTCCTTGATTTTAGAGAACTTAAATAATCCAACATGACTATTTTCACTGTTTGGGGTTTTTTCCAAAGATAGTTGTATTTTAAATGCTATAAATCATCATTGTTTTTCATCATCATTTAAATGGAAAAATCATCATAATTTTTCTGGGGCTCCCTGGGTCTCTTTCAAGAATGTCTATCTTAGGAAAGTGCTAATGATCAAATTCAAACTCTCTCCCATGATGTTTAACATACACTATCTCTAGTGTTGATACTGATACTTTCTCTTTCCTGGGTCCTAATAATTCCCCCGATAGCATAGATTTGTGATAAAGCAAAAATGCATGCTTACTCTGGACACATAGGAGAATGTCCACAATGACAGACAAGTGAGTGTGATGTTTCCCTCCTGTAACTACTTATTCTTTCCTTTGTTCCTTCTTAAGCTTATTCTGGTCCTTCCACCCAAAGACACTAATGGTTTTGATAAAGGCATAAGACTTCGAAGTTCTCTTGAGAGTATATATGATTTCATTTTTAAAGACCCCCTTGAAGAGTTATATAAGAGATATGCAATGCATATTTATAACATAATTAGGAACAGTTCATCACTTAGTGACTGGCTTTATGTACTATATCCACAACTATCAGACAGCTATTTGGTTTTTAAGATTTACGTCTTCTTTTTGTTAATACAATAGATATTTTGTGTGCCAATTTCTTTGATTCAAAGAAAGTTGTGCATAGTGGTAGAACAGCTTTTGAAAGAAAGAAAATTTACATCTTGTTAGGAGATATGATACTGTATATTGGCCTAAGATCTATGCAAGGTGTGCTATTTCCATTTAGCATTTGCTTATCCTCAGAAATGAGATGGTTCATTTCAATTCCATTACATGACTATCTTCAAGCACCATTTACATTTATTTTAAGAGAGGTCCCCAAAAAGTCAAACCTGGACAATGATATCCTGAATTGCACCAGCACAATTTAATACAATACGTTTACATTTAAAACATTTACATGTAGAGTTGCAAATCTTATTTTAAGCATAACTATATATAATATTTTGACAGACAAAAATATATGATTTAGGACCATTATATGCATCTGTCTGTTCAGTAGCAAACTTATAATAAATTATACATTATAGCAAACATAATAAATTATATATTATACCAGAGTAAATTTTTTTGAAAGCTAAAAAGGAAAAATTCATAATTCATGTTTAAAATATATTGCTAATTCATTATTTTCAAATAAAAAAGCCAATAGCCATTACATCAAATTTAATTGTTTCAAGCTTACATTCATTTGATATTCACATAAAATTCATGACTTGTAAGTGTAGCAATGAAGTTTAATTTTTGACACTGAGTATTTGAAAGCTTGTTTTTTATATATCAGTCCAGCAACAAGCTTGATGTTTTGAATGTGGGTTGGGGAAAAAAGCATTAAAATTACCCAAGAAACATGTTACAATCAGTGCAAAATATGAAAATGTGTTTTATTCTAATGCTTTAGCCACAGGTATTGCCTCCAAAGGTTAATATAGTTGGTGTCTAATATGTTCTGGGTAATTTATTTTCATTGAGGATGAAGTTTGAAAGTACACTGAATGAGGCTGGAAAAATTCAACACCATCTACATTACCCATGATGACAAAACAGAGCCGGTCTCCTCCATCTTCCTTGGAAATTGAAGGGGAGTTTATGCCTGAATGTGCAGATAAATAAAGATCTTGAGATTGTTTCATTCCTTTTGACATTTTGGCACTTTAAAAATCACTTGCTAATATTTAGTGCATTTATAAATCTGAAAATGCATTAGTTTTTTATATACCTAGTTTGAGAACAGATGGGAAATAATGGATTAAATGAAAGTCCGTTATCTTTTAACTTAAATTATTTAACTGGTTTTAATAGTTGGACAGGTTAAACCTTGTATTTCCCTGTATCTTTCTATTTTTACAAAATGAACTAAATGGGAAGAAATTTTAATATTAGTTATTTTTTCACAGAATTTAAATATGGTTGTTAGAAGAATTGTTACTCAAGAAAATTGTTAAAAGCAATGTCTGTGGAGAGTATGCCCTCCTGTTGAAGGCTACAGTGTAGATGATGTGCTTCCTGATGCTAATAGTGTATACCTGTGCCTCCATGAGCTGAGATGAATGTTTCAGTGATGGAATGGACAGAGTTGCTATTTGGGTACATGGTACATGTGGAATACCAGTTTTCCAGGATCTGTAGTCCCCATTAGTCAATACTTTTACATGTCATATGTTTTTATCTGTTTTTTTCTCTAATCAATTTCCTTTCCCTGGCTCTCTTCTCAATCATGTCTCAGTATCTGGGATTCCTGTACTCAGTTTCCAAAAGTATACCCCTCAAAAGTACTCCACAGTACTGAGTAGATCCTCAAAAAATATATGAACAAAAAATTATCTTCATTTAGGTATATATGGTTTTCAATAAAAAATTTTGAATGCATTGTCATATTTATCATCATGTTTCAATAAAGCACTGTAAATATATAGGACATGACAATATGTAAAATGATTTCATTTCACATTTAACAAACTACCTTGGGAATTTAACTTGTTTTTATAATGAAGAAAATATTTGTTTTGAGATAATTCTAATTGAAACCTAAAAAAAAAAAAATTCTATTCTATTCATTGTATAGACTTAATGCCAGACATGGAGTTAACAGCATTTTGCTTATGAATCACAAAAAGGAATGTTTTTTTGAAAAAAAATGCTTCTGTTTCAAAATTCAGACTAGCTTTCTTTATTGAATAGAATTCCCAGAATATTTTTCAGCTCATAAATTTACTCTGATTTTGTCAATACAGCTCCAGTTATTTCAATAATGTATGATTGATGGTCAAAGAATTTATAATTCTATAATGGATAAAAACCATTATATATATAGATATATATGTATTTTAACTCCAGAAAAGGAGTAAAATAATAATGACTGACCTCATGAAAACTATGTACACATCAAGTGTTAAAATTGATGGCTTCTTCCTTTTAGAACTTATTTTTACTTTTCACTTTTGGTCACATTTTAAAATTCAATATAAAATTTCTGTCCAATATCTAAACCTGGTTTATGCAAAAAAGTGCCACAGAGCAGATCCCTTAATACTAGGTCACCTCATTAATGAATATAAAACAATAAGTGTGATTTGTTTTTCCAATTTTACTATGAGGAGGTGCTTTGGGAAATTCTGTTAATATATGTTAATCTAGTAGTCTGTCTCTCATCAACCATAATGGTATTGCATAGCTACTGCTCCTTACCCATGGCCCATTTTCACTTCCAATCCTGATTTGAATAGTTATCCAAAATACTATTTCTTTTATCATGCAACAAAACTGTATATACTTCAGTTGAAGATAAAAATGTATCTTTTATCTCTTCATATCACTTTTTGTTTAATGTCCTTCTTGATTTATTGCTGTAAATTCGCCTCATAATTTTGCTATGCTCCAAGTATTATTATCTACACACATGTTAGTTATGGATGTACTCAAAGGATCCTAGTGTTCTTTTTCCAAAATTATCTCTCTTTTCTATCATCTTGCACATAAAAAAAAGTGCCACTATGAAATAATTTTTGTGTGTTTGCTTTGCCTGTGCTCAGAAAAATACATGCCATTACTCAAAGAATGACAGATTACAGGGCTGAGTGTGTAGTTTAGCAGCAGAGAACTTGCCTAGATGCTCAAGACGTTGGGTTGGATCCCCTGCGCTAGAGGCCGGGAGTGGAGATTGCATATTCAGCAAATGTTTCAGTGCAGACCACGAAAGAAGGGGTTAATCATCATATCAAGAAAAATCAACTGATTAACTCATTACATCATTCATCAGAGTAGCTGTGAGTTATTCTCAGAGCCTCAGTCTGACAATCTGACTCACCAGTGCATTAACACTGGTCATTAAAAAGTGCATTAACAAAGTTTGGATCAAAATCATCCAATTTCCTTTCTTAGGCTCTTTCATCTGCACACTATTTTTCCATAAAAATGATACATAATTGGGCCATCTTTTCTTTGGGGCATTTTCATTTTTATATTCCTAACAAAACTATCTAGTGTCAAAATAGAAACTACTAAGGATGAGAAATAAAATGAAATTAAAAAATAAAATAAAATTCATAGCTGCTTCCTTCTAGCTTAGTCTGTATTTGTGCAATTGCACATTACTTTTCCTGAATCCCTCCTTTAGTACATATTCATATTTTTTGCAAGGAATTTGTTCTCTTGAACGTTGTTTATAATTTTAATATGTATTATATGTGCCATGAACCATCTTTCCAGGACTATCCTACTATAGTGCTCTGTTTGCAAAAGCAGTATTTTATTTAGATGGTGTCATTGTAAATTATCTTCAGTCCCAGAGCCTTCTGGACTGGAATCGATGTCAAGAAGGGCCTCTTTATTGGTGAAAGTTGAGCTGAGAGTTATGCTCTGTCGAGGCTTCACAGGTGCAAGTTCATTTAATTTAATATTTTCATTTTTGACCAGAATTGTCTTATCCATGTTTTCCTCACTGTGCCTTGCAACAACAGCATCAAATACATCTAATTTGGGTGGCAAGGTTCCACTTTCAAATAGGTATTTGGTTAGATAAGAAATACCGATGTTAGCTAGGAATGAGGTAACCATGGCAAGTGTTTTAAATGGGAATCTCTGGTTATAGATACCGTTCTTATCAGAGTAATAACCAGGGTAGAAGATCAAGGGCTGCAGGTACAAGTAGGGCTCCCCTCCAGTGACTCTCAGGAAAAGCCCAGAAATGTAACCTGCCACGGCCCCGTACGTGTTGGTCCCCTTGACGAAGAGCACACAGAGCAGCTGTGGGAAGATGATGATGTAGATAAGGTCAGAGCTCAGGTACCAGAGCCCATACACGGTCTTCGTCAGCAAGGCCATGGCTGTTGCAGATGCTCCAAACACAAACACAGTGATTCGCATGACCCAAACAATTTCTTTGTCTGATGCCTGTAAGAAATTGACGATGATCAGCATTGCACCAATGTGTGGACTCATGTTGGTGAAGATCAGGATGCATCTTTATTTACCCTTTACAACTTGTCTAAAGAATCTCCCAGGGCAAATGATTTTCTCTGTGGGCAAACACAACCTAACCTACAACACCTGAAGCTCACAATCTTGATGAACTCCCAGGTGGTTGGTGGAGTGGGGCTTCTGGGTACCATATGCATGAAACTAGATCACCACATCCTTTGCCTGAAGGCACAGGGGAAGAAGATGAGCTAATGTGATATCATCCAGGGACAATGGGGCAAGGGAGAATTTTGCTTATATATATTCATGAATAGTCTTCATGTGGCACTGAGAGAGCTGTGACTATCCTTACTTCCTCTCTTTGTCGGAGTACTACCCTATATAAGACTAACCACCTTCTGGTGCCACACAAAAGGACTTTTCCATGACATTTTCTTGTTAAAACCACTGGGACTACTTTGTAACGATGACCTAAAAACACAAAGAGACCAAGCTCAGTAGGGAAGAAAGGCTCTCCAGAGGTGTCCTTGATCCCTCAGGGACTACAAAAGCCTTCTGTTCTACAACCACTTGATTCAGTAAAGAAAATTAAATCGAGGGGATATTTTATGACAAAGGTAGACTTGGGAGTCTAAATGAAGAGCAGTTCAGAGTTTACACAAATATGCATAAAATAACTTAGAGTGTCCTGCTTTTACCAGTGTTTTTCCATCTCCTACTGTGCTTAATCAGACTAAATGGTTTGCTAAGATATTTTAAGATGCAGTAATCTTTTGTCAGAAGACAAGAAATTTAATTATGGCAACATGATGAAATATCTTGGAAAATAGTTATATTGATTCGTTCCTTTAAGTATAACATGAATGATAGGGCTGGGGTTGTGGCTCAGCGGTAGAGCACTCGTCTAGCACATGAGAAGCCCTGGGTTCAATCCTCAGCACCACATAAAAATAAATAAACAAAATAAAGATGTTTTGTACAACTAAAAAATAAATATTAAAAAAACATGAATGATAAAATGTATTGTTAATATGCATTTTCAGCACATGTAAGCTCAGTGTCATTTAAACTAGTATACCTAATCAAAGTTTACAGAATATAGAATTACAGAAAATGGAATTAATATAGGATATGAACACATATATACAGATTAAACATTCCTTATCTAAAATGCCTAGTATTAGTAATGGATTTCATATATTTTTGGATTTTGGAATATCCACTTATATAATGAAAGATCTTTGGGATGGGGTCCAAGTTTAAAAAATAAATTAATTTAGGTTTCATATACACCTTATGTACATAGACTGACATGCAGAATTTTTAATAATTTTGTGTATAAAATTTTCATAGTGTGAAATTTCTTGCTTGTAACAACATATCAGTTATCAAAAAGTTTTAGATTCTGGAGCATTTCAAATTTCACATTTTGGATTAGGAATGCTGAATCTGAACTTGATAGGGTAAGATAACTTGAAGTACAGGTCTGTCTTCGAATGTGTAGCTTTTTTACTGCTTAGTTACAGCACAGGTTGAATATAAGGAATCTATAAGCATACATATTCTACAAACATTAAGTACAATGACAGCAGAAATAGCAACGATAATAATAAATTACAAATTAAAAAAAAAAGTGTTCTTACATTTTGTCTGAAGGAAAGCTGGTAGATGTTCCGAGCAAACATTGAACTTGCTGACAAGATGGAAGAATCAGCTGAAGACATAACAGCAGCAGACACAGCACCAAGGCCAAAGAAAGAAATGTACACAGGGCAGAGATACTGCAGAACAATTGGTAAAATCATGTCTGCTTCTTCATTCGTCTTGGGGTCTGGGAGCCCATATGCAGTCTGGTTCCAGTCTGTCGAGTAGAAACCACAAGCGTAACAACCAGAGGCATATCTCCTCTACCCATCTGGGTCATGCTGTTTACTAGGTAGTTTTGAAACCCACTGAGCATCACATACATTAGCCTGCTTAAGTGGGAAGTCCATGTGATGGCCACGTGGAAATGTCTTACGTGTTCTGACCTCTAAAGGGTATTGATTACCGTCAGTCTCATTCATAACATCTGCTTAGAATATGATGATGACATACACACTCCTTTTCTGCAATGTGGCATTATATTACATAGAATCATAGAAAACAAATGCTCTTAGACTGAGCCACAGAATTTTCTCTGGACCACTTCCTTAGGCCTAGTTATCTGTGTGCAAGAGACCACAGCATGGCTGTTGTTACCTCTCATTTTTCCTGTATATAAGCTTGATTTAGGAGCTATCTTGGCACAATTTTTCTAATTTCATTTAATCTTGTGTAGAATTTTACTTACAAGAAGCAGGAGACTTGCTAGATTAAGAACTGAACCATCTTTACTGAATAAAAATTATACTCATAAAACTGAGATTTTTTCAGGAGGATTTTGAACTAAGGTCTTTGAATTAAGTTAAGAGGACTGAAGCATATGTTTATCTTAGAATATGTAGCTTCTTTATTGCTTACTGTGTTGAAGAACACAAGGAACCTGTAAACACATATTAATATAATTTCTTTTTTATTTGCTGAACTTCCTTAATGTCAGAATGATAGGGTGGTTTCCTTAGGATCCTACTACTTTTCCTTTCCCCATTTTCCATTATGATCGACATTAAAGCCATGCTGAAACGATGCCAACTCTAAAGCCTGAACAGAGATGACATGATCCCAGAAATAACTGCTAAGTTACACTCAATCCAGAAAAAGAAAATGCCTTTATGCTGTTTTAATCAGTCTGTTTTCCTACCACCCTCCAAATAATCTCCAGATCTGTCTTCTGCTTGTGAAATAAATCCTGTTTGTTTGTTTTTTTTAATTTTCCACCCCCCAAAAGGCAGACACTGCACATCTTTTTTATCTTTTTGATTGTTCATTTATGTCATGAACCAACAACTGGAATGAAAAGAGTATTCTCTGAACCATGACTGCTCTTTCAAAAACTAGATAATCCAATAAATAGCTCTTGAATTAAAAGTCAGAGTCACCATGGGGGCAACACCCTGGGTCATCTTTAAAAAATACAATGAGATAAAAGAAAAATTGTTCTTTAACTGTTTTATTTATCTCTACTTAGGTTACTCTTTTGAATTGGGTTAATGTGATGTGTTTTAAATGCTCTTAAGAGTTGTATTGAAATCACATTTAGAATAGTCATACTCTAAAGTATGGAAAACACTGAACATGCCAAAAATTTCCATTGCTATCATTATGTTAGTTAAGGTCTGAAGTTTATGCCCTCCTAGTTTATTTCATTTCTAATCCCAAAGAGTTGAAATTAGGTATTACAGGACCTTGACGGAAGAGTGGGTCATGAAGGCAGAGCCTTCCTGCATGTGATCAATATGCTTATGAAAGAGGCCCAAAGGAACTTGTTTTTCTCTTCCACCATATAAGGAACATAAGGATGAGGAGCGATTAAGTTCAAATTAAAGGTGAGAGTTTAAAAGTGTTTCACATAAGGGATAACAGGGGAAAAAAAAAACATTTCTTATTGTGTTCTATCTCTCTCTCTCCCTTTCTCTTTTACCATTTAGTTTCTTAGCTTACTTTAATCCATACACATACTCACTTATTTCTCCAAGGGAAAAAAAAATTATCTTGAACAAACAATTGAAATCATAGGTAGACTCTGAAGTTCAGAGTGGTCTGTGGGTAGTCATGACGAAGACAGGTAAATCTTTCTTAAGCTGGTGCCTCTCAACTTTGGCTTAGCTTTGACTCACCAGGGGGGCTATTACACACACACACATACACACTCACACACACACACATACTAGTGTTTGGCTCTATCTTTGATTATTAAACACCCTGTGGAGTAGGCCAGGGGCAGATGTTTTTTAGAAAGTCCCTCTCCACTCCTCAGGTGAGGTCACTGTGCACCATGGTTGAGAACCACTGGGGAGGGAAGTGGATACAATTGATAATATAGCAAAATTGGGGAGGAGGTGTACTTATGAATGTTTGTCAATGGAGTAAGCAATCAAAAAACGTGGAGGTCGCTGAACTATAACTCAATTTGCCAAATGCTATGCAAGGCATATAAGGAACTATGAATGAAGATACATGTACTATGTGGGGGTAAGAGGGAAGTAAAACAGGGAAGGCCACCAGTGGTGGAATTGGCAAATTAAGTGACCACGATGGTGAAGCTCCAAGAGATTTACCTGTTGATGCTCCAATGGCCCCGATGAGTATGGATGGCAGAGCCATCACCAGGCACCCAAAAGCTGCCAAAAAGGACAGCACTTGAGCGTAGGTGGCTGAGGATGAAGAGAGGACTCTCTGGAAGTATGCCTGCCATGGGATTCCACCCAGAATCTGCATGAGAACCCCAAAGATTCAGAGTGAATTGAAGGAATTTCACATTTATTAATATTTTTAAACAAGAGGTTTATAATAATTGGATTTAGAATACTCAGAAGTAGGGCCAGGAATCTCAGTTGCTGTGATTATGTTTGTTGTAATATGAAGTTTGTATCCTCCATGTGTCTATTGAAATTCTAATCTCCAAGGTGATGAAATCAGGTACTAGACAGGGATTTAGTCATAGGTAAAGCCCTGGGAATTGATTAGGTCATAGGTAAAGCCCTCATGAATTCCTTCTACTCTGTGAGAACACAACAACAAGTTTTCTGAAAGTATGGTCTTCATCAGACACTAAATTGGCCAGCACGTTGATCTTGCAATTGCCAGCCTCCAGAACTGTGAGAAATACATTTCTGTTGTTTCTAAATCACTCACTTTATGATCATTGATTATAGTAGCCCAAGAGGACTAAGACAATATTATTGCATATTTTTGATTGTGGAAAATTTCTTTAATTTGTTTTCCTTAGTAATTAGACAAGACAATCCTTGTTTTCCCTAAATTTACTGATTTAAGTTGCCTTAAAACTATCCAGAAGACCTCAGTTGGTTCTCATCCCAAATTTGAACCATAAAAAATTTTATCAAAAAATGATTGAGATTCTGAAAGTATGAAATGAAATTTGAATCAATACAACCCAATAAATATTTATAGACTCTAACCCTGCACCAGACATGTAGTGGTTGTATGACACAAACTTGAAAAGGGCATGGTTCCTGCTCCGTAATTTCCATTCTACTAGAAGAGTTAATGCATTACATTGTTTTGCAAAGTGCCCAAGAACATAGAGAATATAGCGGAATGTCAGGGAGAAAGTCAGAATTTTGTTTATACTCGTTTTTACCTTACAGCTAAATGTGATATTGGGCTTTAATTAAATGACATAACACATCCTTGTTTACAGTATGTATGGGCAATCTATGAATGCACTTTGGAGATGAGCTCAGAAATGGCCATGATGGAGCTTTAGTGGTAAAATCAGTATGTGGTACTTATACAGAAAAGGCCATGAGCCAACAGGTAGATATTTAAGGATAAATACAAAAATCTTGAAAATGCCTTTGATTGACAATTAGACGACCTTCCTCAGGTCAGAGCATTACTTACCAACAACAGAAAACTATCAAGCCACGTGTAGATTTCATAGGACTCAATGGTCCCCAGCCAGGGCTCCTGGTATTTGGCGTGTACAGCAGTAAACCCAATGTCAGAGACCGCAGGATGTGACAGGGCAAAGGGGACACTGATCCACTGGAACAAAGAGCAACATTGGAGTTTTAGTCTATGATTTTGAACTTGATTAATATATTGCAAAATTGATACACCTAGTTTATTTTTCTTGTGCATGGCATGGCTCAGTACTTCCCCTATTCAAAGAAGAACATGAAACTATGTTCTCTGTGGGACATCATGGAATACAGATTTAGTAAACCTAAAATAACACATTATCTACTTCTGCTTGATTATGCCATAGCATATAAACTATAGGAGCAGTCACCTGAAAACTTTGAGAAGAAAATACTACATTTAAGACATAACAGACACACACACACACTTTTATGTTTTGTGTGAATTAGGGAAAGATATCCACCCATTAAAGTGACATGGAAAGGTTTAAATGAGAAATTTGTTGGTAAAACAAGTGTTGAAGAATGGGCCCAGTACTAATAGGTAAAAGAAAAAGAAATCAAAAGGGGAGACCATCTGGAGGAAGCAAAGCAAAGAGTGCAAGAAAACATACACTTCTGGACTTACCCCAGGGTCACACAACAACAAACATATCATAAGTTGAAAAAATTGCAAAGCTGCATTGAATCCACCCAACCTACCAAACACTATAGCTTAGCCACATTGTGCACTGTGGAGTGTCAGTTGTTTCCCCATATGATTATGTGACTGACCAGGAGCAATGGCTATTGCCACTAGAGAAAAGACTGCGCTCGCTGTGTCTAGGTAGCTCAGGAAAAGATCCAAAATCAAAATTAAAATTGTGAAATTGTGGTTTTTACTGAACATGCTTCATTTTTGCACCATAATAAAGTAAAACAAAAACAAAACAAAAAAACAAGTTTCCAAGTTGAGCCATTGAAAGTAGAAGACTAACAGTATAAGTTTTATGTTTTGTGTATATGTGCATATGCCCACATCTGTTGGGTGACAAAGTTTGCTGGCATGGAAGTAGCTTAGGGGAATGGGAGCAATAAAGATAGATGTGGAGAGAACCTTGAATCGCAAGCCAAAATATTTATATTTTGCTTTGTATGCAAGTGGAAGCTCAAGGAATTTGCATGCATTTTATGTGGTACCAAGAATTTAACCCAGGGGCCCAGCATGGTGTCTGCATGGCTGTAATACCAGAGGCTCAGGAGGCTGAGGCAAGAAGATTGCGAGTTCAAAGCCAGACTCAGCAACTTAGCAAGACACTAAGCATCTTAGTGAGATTGTCTCTAGATAAAATACCTTTGAAATAGGGCTGGGTATGTAGCTCAGTGGTTGAGTACTCACCCCTAGGTTCACCCTGGCACCCACCCCCCAAAAAAAGTTAATCTAAGGGTGCTCTACCTCTGAACTACATCTCCAACCCTGTTGTTTTTTTTATTTTATTTTATTTTGAGACAGAGAGTCACACTAAGTTGCTGAAGATGGCCTCAAATTTGCAATGGTCCCACCTCACCCCTGGTCACTGGGATTGTAGACATGTGCCATGTGCCTGGCTAGAAGAATTTCTTTGGAGTTTTTTTTTTAAAAAGTCAATGAAATTTCCTCTAAATTTTAACACCATAAATATTAAAAATAAATTTAGAAGAATATAGTAGTATGGAAGGGCCATAGATGGTTTCAGTGGGCCCTGGATAAAGCAGTGACATTAGGAATGGAAAGATACTGGCACTGAACAGGAAAATGAAGAGAGTCAACCGAGAAAGGTCAGAAGGAGGTCAACAGGGAGGTCAGAGGAATCTGAAAATGAAATCTGAAATTTATAACTTTGGAGCTGCCAGGGTGATGATAAAGTCCAAAGAATTAGAGAAACTGGAAAGAAAAGATGGTTTGAATTATAAGTTGATTAATTAATTACATATGCATGAACAGCAATTAAAGCTTATTTAGTCTTATTCAGCTAATTCAATAGTGATTTCTTAACAATTCTTATCTTCATTTCTTATCAATTTAGTTACATTTTGTAGTCAAAAAACATTCTAACATATATCCCTATATATATTTGACCTACCATCTTTACACCTGCTTACTTGATTTATGTACCTGTGTATTTTAAGTTCTGGTATCATGCAATGCAATGAGAAATCACATACATCACTGATGAATAGACTTATCCCCTGGGGCTGTGTCTCTTGGAATAACAAGTGCATCAGTTATGAGAGATGCCATTGCCAAACGAACCTCGCTTCCTACACAGTGAAAAAAGATTTACTTCTGTTTTCTCTGTTTCATAAAGTTTATGGTGATGTTAAGTACAAATCAGAATTTCTGCACTGTCAACTTGATTTTGGCAATTTAAAAATAAATAAAGTTGAAGTTATTGAGTAAATTAAATACTCTCAAATTCAATTAAAATATGACTGAATTACATTCCACGAAATGCAAATAAAATCTCTAGGAGAAAAAGAGGAAATATAATCTTTGCTAAGGTATATAAATTTAGGGTTAAACTGTAAATCTAATTTTAGTTAATTCTTTTAAATTTTCCTCTAGAATATTATTACAAATGCTAGAAAATTGAAAAAAATAGGAATGGGATTCATTCTTCATCTCTAAGTGTCTAGAATAAAAAGTAAAATAGAGCGAAAAGCTTTTTATTATAAGAAAAATAAAGAAAGCTGAGGAGAATGAAGAGTGCTTTGACTCTCTTTCAGAAAATGATTCGTCTTCAGCATTGGCTGACTCTGTCTGTGGCCTTTGACCAGGGCTCTGTCCCTGCAGGGTCTGTAGCTGACATAATGTATGTGTTTGATGAGATCATGTATGTGAACCCACAGTGACACCTAGAAGAGTGGCCACACCATTTCCTTTATTTTTCTTTTGACATGTCTTAGGTGATGGATATTATTATATGCATAATTATAATCTCCCTGTTTTAAGATGTGAGTTTGCAAAGAATCAACATTGACTAGAATGCATCTAAGATGTGCAGAGATGCTTTTAATATAAGACACATAGTATTTGTATTTCATAATTATACAGTACTCTTTCTTAATGCACCAAACCTATATTACCTAATTTAATCCATGACTTAAGAACAATAGATAATACAGATAATTCCTTATATAATTAAGCCCTTTCTTTGACCCCAGATATTAACCATTATAATTTGAAATCTATAGTTTTTCCAATGGGATATTTTTCTAACAAAATAAGTTTTCAATAGAATTTCCATGTCCTATGAAGAGTCTAATTGATAAACAGTCTCATAGATAAATGAACACAAGGACAGGAAAGAAACTTGTGTGGGTTACTATCAAAGTTTTAGTTTTCTTAACTGTGGAGAAAGTGTGATATCATCAGTTCTCAAAGGGTGTCACACATAAGTTTCCATCAAATCTAGCCATGAAGAAAACAAAGACCTAGATCTTTCTGAGAATTCGTCATAGCACACATTTTTCTGTCCACCTCTAAGGAAATAACTACAGTTTCCATCTAATCAATTCATAGAAAAATACAAAATTTCAAATAGTATACAACTTACTATGTATTACTCATTATGGAAAATATTAATTCCTTTGCTGAGTTGGTATAAAACACCACATTATCTTTTGTTAAGAAAGAGAAAGAGGAGGAGGGGGAAGACCAGGAGGCAAATCTGAGGAAGGCGCCACTTACCAGTCCTACAAAAATGCAAAAGAGCTGAACAACGTCTGTGTAGGCCACAGAGTAGAGACCACCCACCAGGGTGTACAGAGTGGCAATGAGGGCCGACACAATGACCGAAGCATGCACATCAACGTCAATGATCACGCTGATGGTGGCTCCTGTGGGGACAAAAAAAGAAGTGAGAGCGCTGGTCATGGTCTGGGGTGAGTTCTGGCAAGGCCATTCTGTGGGTTCTGTTACAGCAGCTATATTTCCCTGTGTCGTACACAGTGTACCGCATGACCTTGGCTAAAGTGAATTTTTACATTGAGACCTTTGTATGTTATCAAACTGACTATTATCTCTTTTTATATATATTCAAATACATGAGAGACACCCAAAACCTACTATCACTGAACACCCTGAACAACCGAGACATTCGATTCCATTCCATGAATTCACAATTTCACCCTCTGAAATTCTGACTTAATTATATGCAATATATTTACTCATATCCATAAGGAAAATAAGCCTTTCTGAGCAATTTGATCAGTCATTTCCAGTTTTACAATGATTATTCATGGGCTCTTTTGCATTTAGTTTGCCCTCCGCTTTCCTGTTATAGCTGATGAACCCTCCGAGGTGCCAACAATTAAGACAAATTTGTAGAAGAAAATTTTATAATTGTTAAAACTTATCTTTCAACTTTTTCTCCCTCAAAGTCATGAAGGATCATTTTATTTTATTTTGCTGGTGGGACATACAAGTTCTACTCCTAAGATATCAATATAATAAAGAACACTAATGATGAATATCATATTTTTAGGCCATTTCCATCATCAAATTTTATATTCTTAGAATTCAAATTTATGTTTCTTTTACTTTACAAGCTGTTTATCATGTTTGTTGATGCCTATGTTTCCAATAACAATTTAATGGTGTGGAAGGTTTGGCCCATTTCTTGGACTAATGGCTTCTTAACTCACTTGCTGCTTCATAACTCATTAATTGCTTTTCCATTTTTTTCAAAACTATCTAGTTTATATTTCATCTTATTATAAATGGCAATTCTAGGTATGCTAGCAGACATGAAAGAAATCTGTGATTTTTTTACACCATCAATTGTAGCCAGATGCCTCACAATCTCCTTCTTTTCCTCCTCCTCCTTAATTGGCATAACAATATTTACAATCTACATGGATGAAAATCCATCATCCTAAAGAATAATTCAAAGTATTTTGACCCAAGATATCAATACAAAATATTTTGTGTGTGTATTTTGGCCATGATAATAATATAACATTATCCTCCTGGATAAAAAAAAATCAATTAAAAGAAACATCTACTAAGGAGTTGCAGAATAAAAGACAGAGGAGAGCAGTTAATTATTTACAAGTGACTTTAGGTAATTATCTGAGTTATAAGTGTATAGATATTGAAGAGGTTATTTCCCCCTGAAATCCTATTCTTGATAGTTGCCACTCTTTGCCATTCCTCTTTGGGTGTGGTTCTCCACTTTAATAACATGTATGTTATCACCCCATTATATGAGAGGTTCAATTATAGAATAAAAATCACTGGACTGAAATTTGCAGTCCTATAGATGTCATCATTTGGTTGTAAGTTAGTTATCTGAGAGAAGTTAACTTGCTGTTTATTACTGTGCAGATTGGGTTAAGATTTTTATCTGAAAAATTATATCAATGGTAGTGAAAAAAAACAAAATTATTCTAATAGATCTACTGAGAAATATAGTCTACTTATGTAGATATGAAAATAAATATACTGTGAATAAAGTTATAAAAAAAATCTCTGAATTTGAGCCATCTACAGTAGAAGTATACATTTAAAAGGTATAAGGTGTTGCCCATTTATACCAAACATAGTTGGTATAACTTTGCTCTCAGGTCAAGATAGCAAGCATGCCTGTCCTATCAGCATTAGGCCAGTAGCTGCATAGTAATCAAAACTGGCACGAGATTTCTGCAGGATTCATGAAGCCAATTCAATAAACTGCAGGATTTATCAATGTGGGATGATATATCAGGATGAAGATGTCTTAGGAAGCCACAAGAAGGCTTCCTGAGAACCTTTATGATGACAGGGTGTTTCAGGTTAAGAGGGCAGTGAACTTGGCCATGAGACCTTGAATCTTGCCTCAAGAGCAAGGGACAAAATACAAGAAGGATAAATTCTACCTTGAACCAAATCCAAAAGAGGTTATTCAGGGGGAAGAAGAAAAAGAGAGACAGGGAAGAATAGGAAAAGATAGAATCACACAGTTGACATCTGTGAATGTAGTTGTCTTCAAAGTATTTTCATGAAATTGGTTGTACTTGAAATATACAATTTAAAAATTATTTGGTCTGCAGAAGCCTATCTTTACATAAGTGTTCATAGTAATCATTAAAAAAAGATTCTCCTATATTTCCGCAGTAAACCATGCATATGCACAGTGAGGTGATAATAAATCTTACACTTGTCTATTCTTAAGTATCCCAAGTTTTTTCTTATAAACACTAGCTCTGACTTACTCAAGCTATTATTTTTGAAGAAAATATGGGTGATAATTTAAAAGTACATATTCTGCCACAATACAGATTTCAAGCAAAAGCAATAATATATATTATTTCATATATGCATGTGTTAACATGAAAAAGAAGAATGCTTTACTGAATATACTGAAATACATACACAGACACATATATCCAACAGAAACTAATTGTAATTAAGTTCTGAGTTTTGCCACTATGCTTTCTATTTCTAAAATACTTTGGAAATATTAGCTCATTAATTCTTTTCCTCTTTCAGGACTGTTATATAAATTGATCTTTATTCAGTTAGAGTGAACATGTTGTATTCTGTTAGATATTTAGCCCACTCCTTTTTTAATACCCAGCAGGTAGTTTGTTCTTAAAACCAAAATTTTCTAGTATTGAAACCAATGACAAATAAACTCCCATTGCTTCTCAGCTAATGAGAGCAAGGTGGAAAGAGAGGTGTATTTTTACACATAATTTCATTAGGGTATAAGCTTAGCAATGATTGGGGAGTGTTATTATCTTGCACCAGGGCAGTATGACATTTTCCCATGAGTTATTACTGTATATTATAACCATCAAATTCTCTTCTTTCCACATCAAGTAACTTTGTTTCTACAGAGACCAAGAAAATAATGTTAATGGGAGTTTGGGAGAAAGGGAGAAAAAGAAGGCCATATGAAATCATAATAATAAAAACTAGAAGATGGATTTATATTCTAGAACATACAAAATAGGAGGAAATTTATCTTACTTTTGTTCTAACCCCTTAAAGTTTGGTGGTATTTCCATTTGTAAGAAAAGATGGGAAATTACATCTAGATGAATGTATGCCCAGAAGGCAAACACTGACATAGTCCATTGAAGAAAGCTGAGGACCTTCCAACTCTGCTGATCGTCAAGAAGGACCTCAGCACTCAGTGGGATGGTACACATTCGCTCTTGGTCACATGAGCCTGAAGATCTCCCTTGGTTCCTCTGAAATTTCTTGTTTTCTAGATCTCGCAAGGAAACTGAAAATCCAAAGGCCCAGTACAAGTTCTTAGCATTAGTTGATCTTGGGTTGTAAGTTAGACTCTACTGAGTCTAAACTCAGTATCTACCTCCCTAAATGTGTACACAACCCAATATTTTAAGACATAATGGAATTACACTGGGGAGGGGGGAAAAAGCAATATTCATCTTCTTTTGTCAAAAAAGTAGAGCTCAAAACTATTTATTAATTTATTATAGTTATTCAAGGGACACCATTCTTGCTCTAAATAAATTTATAATCCATTGTGTACAGGAAAAAGTTGGGCATGAAGTGAACAGGCAAATTATCATACAAAGGGAGATGATAAGCCCAATGAGGAAAAATTGCAGGTGCCTACGAAAGCCTGCAGGGAAGGCTGCTAGCAAGTCTGGAGTACTGCTCCCTGTAAGTGCCAGGGAGCTTGGTAATTAGGGAGGCAAATGGTGAGAGAGAGGAAAAAAAAAGAGGAGAAAGGAATCCAAAGCAGGGACACCTGTGCTTGCACAGTGTCAGTAAGAAGCAAGAGAAAACCACAATTCAGACAGAAGATAAAGGGCAAGTGGGGTGCAGGGGATAATCAGAGGAGAGAAGACCCAGGTCATAGTTAAGGGCCCTATTCAAAAGTTTGGTTTTAAGCAAGAAAGGGGACATGATGAGATTAGAATATGAGGTTAGAATTTAGAAGGATGAATCTGGCTGCCATGTGGTGCCCACAGTAGGGCAGACCTGCAAACGTGGAGTTGGCTGCATTAATACAGGTAAGGGAGGCTGGGAGTGGCCTGGCTTATGGCAGGGAAGAGGCAGAGGTGGATGGAGGTAGGGGTGGGGGGCGGGGTGGTTGATGGAGGAACCAGGTAGGAGTGCAAGCAATTAAGGATGGGTCTTAGAGCTGAGATGTATGGCCTGCAGGATGAAGGTAGGTCTGCAGCAGGTGAGGTTCGTGTACCTTAATGTGGGCACTACATCTCCTAGCTTCTTCAGCAGCCTCAGTCTCTCAATCATAACGGGCCCAGTTAGTTCCCCTGTAGGTTTTTGAAGGTGAAGAGGAAGTCAGGGGTGGGGAAACTTTTCATTATTCATCAAGAAGACATTTAACCTGGCAGGGAAGTCCAAGCTACATTCTACCACACTTAAATTTTTCCACTAATAAACCACAGCATTGTGCTTTTTACAAATATCATTTTATTGAAATATCTCAAGTTAGGTGATTGTGCTTACATTGCTTGTCATCATGAGAAGGTGGGCAATATTTCTTTGGGAGTATTATTTACAGTCGAGACTCACACTGGTTTTATATTTGTTCTTGATTAGGTATATTTTATGCAAAAAGTCAATATCTCTAGAAATATTAATGCTTTAAAAATGATGTGGTACTATTCTTTGAGGAATTTAAATAGACTTGCCTATGCTTTATATCAATTAACAAGGCAGTTATCAGAAGAAAAAAAACAGGAAAGATTAAAAAGTTCTCAGTTCACATAAATGAGACGTCTAGAAAAAAATGAAAATGGAATTCACTGATTCAAATCCATTCATCAAAAGTATCAAAAGTATTCTCCCTAAACCTGGCTCATGGACAGTAGTTTTTTGTTTGTTTGTTTGTTTTTCTTTTGTACCACTTAACCACTGAGACCTATTCCCAATGCCCCCTGCCCTTTTTTTAAATTTTTTTATTTTGCAACAGAATCTTACTAACTTACATAGGGCCTTGATAAATTGCTGAGGCTGGCTTTTAACTTGCATTCCTCCTGCCTCATCCTCCCAAGCCACTGGGAGTATAGGCAGGCACCACTGCACCCAGTAAATATTCTTTTAGATAAATTGCATTTTTGTTTCTGGTGGTGCTAGGACTTGAACTCAGGGCTTCACACATGCTGTGCAAGCACTCTACCACTGGGCTACACCCTCAACCCTAAATAGCACTCTTAGTTTTGTTTAATTAATGATGTTTGGTTCAAAATCATATACAACTTACAAAAGCAACCCTGAATCCCTATAAAGTAACTCATGGTTATTGCTCTAATTATGTAATTCAAGTTAAAAACAAATGCACTTGAGATTGGACTTAGTCTCTACAACAATACTGCAAGTAAATGTAGAATTTCAGTTAAGTTTTTGTAAATATAAATATGACTTAGGATATGGTTTTAATAATTTCTAAGACACTAAGACTGAAGAAAGTAAAGTTGTTGGTCTGGTGTTCAGGAAACTGGAAATGAAGGTAGAACAATGTTCCATTGGTGCTTACCTAGTGCAGAGAAAATTGCTGCAGCCCAGAACATTTCTCCCATTAGCGCAGGGATGAATAGGAGTCCACCCATGCGCTTTCCATAGATCTGCTGAAATGGGTCTAGCATGGTCACATATCCCTTGGAACGCATGGGTTTTGCAAAGAACAGACCACCTAAAAAAATTACATGAGTGTTTATGAGAACATTAAAAATTTATAATATAATAGTCTTTGCCAGCTTTTTACTATGCTATAATTTCTTAAGGGAAATGATTTTTTTAAAACACTGTACATATTGAGGAACTAGTCTGAAATATACTCTGAGTACATTACCAAGAAGCATTCAGCAACCTAATATAAACTCCTTAGTGCATTTAACAGATGTATCCAATGGACAACAAAATGTTATAATTGAGGCATATGAAATTTAAATATATGGAGTAGGATAGTGTTCACTGAGATGGCTTGGTGCATTTGTATCACTCAGTACATTTAAACATTTGAAAAAGCACAAGGTCCAACAGAACAATTTGAGGGGGAAAACTAAGAAAGAAAATAAAAGAGGAACCATTTTATATAATATTCTTGGCCTTTTATAAGTTTAATTTACAAAAAAAGTCAGGTACAATAAAGTTGATTCATTTTTAATGATATGTCCATAATATTTTTGAAAGAATAAAATATGATTATGCTAAGAAATTCACTGTTTTAAAAGTTATAAGATCAAAGGTTTTTTTTGTTGTTGTTGTTATTTACATGTTCCATAATCAAGAGATTACCTAAGCATTATTATTCTGTTGCATATCAATTTCTTGTAACACCTACTTAGAACTATCTGGTGACATTTTTCCACAATAGTTATTCACACTGTTTGATTTGCTAACCCACTTGTTATTTAGACTTTTATTCTTTAGGCTTTACTGAATGAGTCAAGGAGATTTAACTTTCCACTTACCTAAAACCAGACTAAGTGAATATCCAATTGGTGCCTGAGCCCAAGCTAGACCATAATCTGGTACATAAACTGCTTCAGCTGTCCCATTGATATACCCTCCTCCAACCCACGTGGCTGAAATAGAATGAAGAGAGAGGTCATGACATATGACATTATCTTACATGTCATACTCTAGGTCTGATTGTCCAACACCAGGCGACTAGTCCCATGGGGTCATTCAATGTGGCTACTCCAAACTGAGGAATTCTGTGACCATATGTTTTCTTCAGATATATGAAATTTCTATAGAATAATAGCTGAAAGAGGGAGGTCAAGGAACCAAAGGTTATTTTTTGTTAAAATGAGTTTGGGCCAATCATGATCTACAAACTACTGCTTTCCTTAAAAAAGATAATCAAGTATTTGATCCTTGTTGAAAAACTGAGGTTAAAGGGACTCTACATTCCTGCAGCTTATATTCTTCAAAAATACAGTCAAAATATTCAAAATGCTACTTATGTAAAATGTATATAAAGTTCTGAGTGTCAAAGGCTGTTAAAAAAGCTTATCAGATATGACACTGAATTTTAGGCTGAATCATCACATAGAGAATAAAATTTGACTTTAAGGAATTTTCTAAACTCTCATAGAGTATAAGTAAAATAATTACGTGTATTTGATACATAAGTATTTGACAGATAAGTGCTTCTGTTGCTTTCATGCCAGAATTTATCTGGCTTTTAATCTAACACAAAGCAAAGAAGAGATTGTGTTTGGGGTTAAATTGCTTTTTAAAAGATTAATATGAAAAGACTTTCCTGCAGAGTAATTTTAAGTACATTAAATGGAAAGTTTATATACAAAATCTTGATGTGGACAAGATTTGTATTTAGGAAACACTCCCATCTTCAAGCTTTTACATCTGGTGTTAATAAGTAGCAAACACCATCATTTGCTTTTCTCATTCTAAATCCTGCTGAAATTGTAGAAAGAGTCTCCACTTGATACACACACACACACTGAGTATAGAAAAAGGACAGAAGAAAGAATTCTCACAGACACAGAACCTGAGACTTGGTCTTCCTGCTAGGTACCTGGAGCTGCTAACACACCAGCACTATTTTGCTGCATAAAATTAATAATCGGATGGTCTTACAAGCACAAAGCTAATCCATGGTTGTTTTTTATTGTGTAGCTCTCCTGTCCTTTGTCCAAAAAAAAAATGGTGTTGAACAATTGTCCCTATTAATAATATAGAAGTGAAGACTCCATTACTTACTATGCTTAAACTAATTCCCTTCATTTTTTATCAATCTTGTCTTTTCTATGCTATAATTTATTGTCCATGCCTGTATATTTTATATTAAATTCATGAGTGAGGACTTGAACATTTTAAAACTGTCTGATTTTTAAAGAATCAACATTTTTTGAAATATATATAAGTAAATGAATCTGATAAGGTTTAAATAACATGGTTCAGATTTTAAGTGAATGATAATATTAATTAAGGATCTTCTGACACAATGAAAGAGAGAGAGAGAGAGAGAGAGAGAGAGAGAGAACTTCACAAACCAAGCTAGACCATGACACTTCATAAGAAATACTGTTATTCTAATATATTCTATATAGTTTCATAAAGTATTACAGTGAAAAAATCATTCTATATGGTAAAGGAACAAATCCTGAAATTTCTTTATGACCATATTAAATAGAATATTAAACTAGAGTAAGAGGACAATATTATTATTATTATTATTGCAAATAACAATTTGCAATGAGTAAAACACTTTGATATACAGCAGTTCATGTATTACTTTAGTGGGATTTGCAAAATAAGCAGCTTTATAGAGAAATAGAGTGAGGCCAGTTAATGAGCTTATGTGGTATAGTACCAAGGGCCTGGGGCGTGGCCATCAGAAGACCTGGGTTTGGGCCTGGCCCTGGTCCTGGTTAACAATGTAACCTGGATCTTCACTTAACCACACAGCCCTTTCACAAGGCTATTACAAAGAACAAATGAATCCATCTATAGTTGGTGAAGAGTTAAACAAAGAGACTGTAAATGCCTGGAAGGTAAAATCTAGTGTGTATATAGAACATTGCAGATTACAAATGGACAAAGTCAAGACTTTCAGAATGTAGATGCTATTTTTACAGTGCTTTGGTAAACTATTTGGTATACAGGGTGAATCATTTTTAAATTGCACTTCAGGATTGAACCTGGACATCATTCAGATATGATTTCCAATGGGTTATTTTTCTAATGAGAACTGAGAGTTCCTGTTAATATAGATTATATTGCTAGTGTTTAAATGTTTACAAAGACTCACATAAGATGTGTTATCAGTGAAAGTGTAATTTTAAGTTGTTGTTTTTCAGAATTATTTTCAATGACTAAGATAAAAAAGAAAGAAATTGCCCCACATACAAAACCACCTCTGGGCAAAGCAAAGACAGACAGAATACCAGCCCCTCCTAATACAAAGAAGGCTTGAAAGAGAGAGAGAGCTACAGATAGCGGCTAGGGGATTCCAGAAAAGACACACCCTGGCTTTTCCCCTTTTTATCAAGTTTCCTGGAAATCCCTTTTTCATTCTTGTGGAGTCATAATATCATCTTCCTGTAAGGAAATTAATTACTAAATAGGAAAATTAGGTTTCCAAGCAAGGGATCAATCAGTTTGCGATTGTATTGCCTCCAAATGGATTTATTTAGGCTAAAAACCATCACTAGTTAGTATTCACTGACATTTGTCACTTAAGATAACTCCAAGTCACAACTTCATGCATGCATTACTAGACACACTGAAACACTATCATATTAATTTACAAATGCATGACTTGTAAGACTAGGACATGTTTTCATTCCTCCACTTCTTTGTCTATACTGTTTCCACCCACTAAACAGAACAGAAAGCCGAGACTTTTTTCGTTGGTATTAGATTCATTGATTTATTATAAAATCATTTATGCAAGAACTAATGAGTTGAAAGCATTTTGTTTTCAAGCAGATATTCATTATTTTCAAAATATATAACCAGCAAACCTAAAGAATCCCCAAAGGATAAAGAGCAATGTTTGCAATGACACTCTGAGACCACATGCTGTATATTCAGAGAAGCCAAGCAAGGGTGAACTGCACCAAGCAAGCAGCACTGGAACCTACCTGTCATGGTAAATCCACCAACTAACAAGCCAATGTCTCGCCCACCAACTATTATGGCTTCGCTGCGTTCTTGTGCGCTGCCACTGTTTTTGGTTCTCCATGCAGCCCATATTCCAACCAGCAAGATGAGAAGGTAGAATATGATGATAGCTATCAGTCCTTCCACGTGGAAAGCCATTTTTAACTAAGGGTCCAGATTCTTCCACAGTTGGCTACTTCATTAAGACTTGTGGAGAAAATACAGTAATGCATTAAGAAATAGCAGCCTAGCACTGTGCCTACACAGGCAGCCAGGATAAGCCAGCTGGCTCCTGGGCGAACCTGTGCCACTTAAAGAAAGAGTACACTGAAGTCACGTGTGAAATTGGCCATGGCCAACAAGTGTCCACTATATTATCCTACCTCTATTTAACAGTTTAACGATGTCCTGACTTTTCAAGAAACAAAAATAAATAAATAAATAAGGAAATATTGCTTAACAAATAGAACCATAAACACTTTTTTCATAATTTTTTTTCAATTTAACATTAACCTTGAATCTTAACTCAGTAATTCTGTCAAGAAATCATTTCCAAAAATTGTGATTGCATTTGCCTTTTAAAGCTAAGTTACTATACTAGAATTATTAGTATCATTAGTGTATCATCAAGCAATATACCAAGAATTTTTAAAAATGTGTTCATTCTTCTACTAGTTCTTTGAAAAGATTTCAGGAAATGCCTCCAAAAGTACTCTGACATGGGGAGGGGCAAGGGACAAACTTTAGGAAAATCTATTTAAAAATGCTTCAACTCCACATTTTCAACAAGTTCCTATGGGTCAATTTATTGTGTCAACTAAATATGTACTTGTTGTTTAAAGGGTTCCGCCTCTTTACCTTCCATTGTTCTTCCTTCATTTCACACATCCCCATTAGTGGTATCTATAAGAAAACGATTTAAAAATGTGTTGCCTAAAATCATAGCAGAGGGTCAAGGGTATTAAAACGCAAAACTCTTAAAAGACAGATGTCAAGTGCCTTAGCGGTCTGGCATTCTTGTTCTCTTATTTTGTTAGTCTCATAGCCAGGGCTATTACATGCACCCGATTCGCACACAGAAGTCTCTGGTGGAAACTCAGATATTTGTGCACACAAGTGGCAGGTGGGTGATGAGACCTGGGGCAAAACTACTAACCTCCCTGCAATCCAAAGGTGGCAAAAGAAGCACCGCGGACCGGGTGGGCTGCGCCATTGTGAGCAACCCAGTGGGCAAGTTCTTTCTCCAGCTGCCCTTTGGGAGCTCCCCTGGCCCCTCTCTCCTTTCTGGACCCCTCTGCCGGTATCTTGCACCCAGACTCAGCAGCTCGCACCTGGAGAGCCACAAGTGCCCGAGAGCGGAGCTGCCCTGGCATCTCCACCGAGAGGCCAAAGAGCCACCTCCCTTCGCTCTAAAACTGCGGGAGCCGCGCTCGCAGAGTCCCAGAGGGAGCAGCCCGAGGCTCCGGGGAGGGAGGCTGGCTGCGTTCCTACCTGGAGCTATCGCGGCGCCGGGAAGCGCTCCGCCGCCGCCGCCGCTCTCCAGCCGCCGCCCCAGAGCTGGGCGGGCTGTGTGTGCGAGGGTGCAGCGAGGACGGGAGGGGACCGGTCAGGGGGCCTGCTGCGGGGGCAGGGCCAGGCGACCGGGGTCAGCGGTGGAGGCTGTCCCTCACCTCGCGGCTCCAGGACCCTGGAAGCGCGCAGAGCTGACAGGTGCGGGAGCCGTTGGAGGGCGCGCAGCGCAGCGAGGTGGTGATCAATTCAAGTATTGGGAAAAGTCCCCTTTATAAGGGCGGCAGGCGGGGCCGATCTCAGATCTCAGAGGCGGACGTCAGAGGAAAGTGGTGCTGGGGCGTGTGCTGGGGACTGTGCCCTCGCGCTCGATGGGGGTGCGAAGGGGACTGGGGCCCCAGGGGCGGGGACTGGGGCCCCAGGGGCGGGGACCGAGCCTGGATTCCGGGCCACCAGGGTTGGCTGTGGTCTCCCTACCTCCAAGGCAAGTCACTGCCACTGCCCAAGAAAAGAGAGTGTAATTCCCTAAGGTCCTTCCTGATCTAACTTCGCCAGAGGTGACCTGAAGCTAAGCACTGAGACACGGAAAGAGGATCAGAGAGGAGGCTCATATTCTGGGCTTCCCAGACCCCCAGTAGCCAGGAGCTATTTCCTGAGGCTTCTCTATGAAGGCCAATCCCCTCACTGCGCTCTACACCTACCCCACATCCCGCACACACACGCACACACAACCCTATTTCTGGTGGGCCTCTATGGAGGCTGATCACAACATTCCTTCTGATGGAGTCCCTAAGTAGACACTTCAGAAAGATTTGGGAAGTGGTCCTTTTTTTTTTTTTTTTAAACATTCATACCCCTTCTCTTAAAAATAAGGTTACAATGAAAAACTCTAGGAGTTATTGATAAATAGGAAATTAGCCCACAAGCAGGACAGGATGTCTCTCCTTACAGAGCCAGTTATGTGCTTGCCTGCTAAAACATCCTGTTTACTGTATTACTTTACAATGTATCTCTCTATATACTTCATCTGTGTTTTTTACCTAGACTAGTTACATATTCATCAATATAAATGCATATCTATAGATGTATTTATATGTCTAGGTATGTATGTATGTATATGTATACATATATTCTTATATATGTGTATATGTGTGTGTAAAATATATATATATTTATATGTATATGTGTGTGTAAAATATATATTTTACATATGTGTATATGAGTGTAAAATATATATGTGTGTAAAATATATATATTTTATATATGTGTGTATGTGTGTGTAATATATATATATATATATATATATATATATATATATATATTTTTTTTTTTTTTTTTTTTTTTTTTTTTTTTTAAAGGAAAAAGGGTATGGAAGAGAGAGTAGTATAAAAGAGCCACGAGCCACAAAGTTACAATCCCTGGGGCCAATTTCTCACTTCTTTCCATATTCCACTATGACAGTTTATTAAAGAGTGAAATGTGCACATTAAATAACTGATAGAATGAGTAAGAATACATCTTGGCTATTGTCCACCTTCCTCTAGGCTAAATTTCAGACTAATCTTCCATGGTTTTTACACTGGATTTACAAATGATCTTTCAAATTTATGTAATTATCTTTTTCCTTTGTTCTCTGTATAAATGATCACTGCATCTAGCAGCCTTCTTTTAGTTCAGCGAGTTTAAAACAGGGCAGAAGGCCTGCGTGGACAGTGATATCAACTGGATTTTGTGATTAGCTAAATGCTTTTCTGGAAGACTTAGCCTTTCAAGATAATCCCATTTGTATACAGGAAGGGCAAAAAATTTAAGATATTTTAAAGATCTAACAAAGGGAAGACAGAGATGGAATATCATATAATTACTCACATATTTTAAAATAGACTAATTTATTCATTCATTGTTTTGTCTTTAACAGTTATAATCAATTTCTGATTCTGGACTTTGGCCATGTGTTTGTTTATATTGTTCCTTCCAGAATGTACTGAAAGATGATGATGACACAAAGCTTACGGTTATAGCAGGACAGGCTTGGGCAATTGCACAGCTTGAAATAGAGCATGGAGCTAAGGTCAGGGAGTATGACTCAGGTGCAAAGAGGGACTGAAGAGGTGCCTGTCCTCAGAGAACATCATCAGGCATTTAGGTATGAGAATCCAGAGTGCAGCCAGTGCTCACGCTCTAGGGAAGGGAGGGAAGGGGGGACCTAATCCACTTTGAGAAGCTGGGCATGCCAGACTCTAGACTCAGTGCCAAATCTGAATAGGGACAGTGACCTTGAACATGGCCAAAAAAAATCTGGCCTGGCAGAGCCGCTGTCCTTCATGATAAAAAACACCAATTGAAAATGACAACTTCTGATGTATTGAGTCTAGTTCTGGGGAGACATTTCCTCATCTGCCCAGTCCTGTGAGCTCCTGTGTCTGATACACAGATGATCCTGCATGTGCATTTATGTCCTAGGGTGTCCCCTCCCAGACACCTTTTTTTTCTTGTCTTGAACATGCACCTCTTTCTCTACTACTCTCCGGAGGATATGTAATCATGATAGTAGTTAGGGAAATAGAAGTCAGTAGGAGATCAATTCCAGTCTTAGGGGATAAATAGCAGGTTCTTGCATTTACAAATCATTTATTTACGCTCATTTCCTAAGTGCCTTTTATGTTCCAAGCACTGATCTAAGTACTGAGAATACATGTAGAAAGTGATATATAGCCTTTGCCCTTAGCAACTTATCATCCTTGAAAAGAAAGAAGAAACAAGCAAAAGCTTCATTTCAATATACTATTATAAATTCTGTTTTAGGGGAAGCAGAGACAATAGGTCTTAATTAAACTGAGCTATTCTTCCTGGAGGAGGAAAATATTTGCTCATTCAGCAAACATATGGGAGGACTGACTATGTATCAAGAATCATAATAGGAACTGGGTATATATACACATAAGATTCCTGTCCTTAGTGAGCTTAAAGTCTATGATCTTGCTACACCACATCAAATCTGTTGCAGCATCAGCAACAATTTTCTTCCCAAACATTGGTCATAACTTGAAGATGGTCATAACTTAGTGTATACATTTTCAAAATGTATTTTGAAAATAACTTCAATATAAATCAAAATACATACAGTTTTGAGGACCCACTTTTCCTTAAGTCATTTACCCTTCATAGTGTCCAAGTTTCCCCATACAATTTTAACTTGAATCTTTTATAATTTTGAATCAGTTATGTTCTACTTCAATTATAATTGGTTGGTTATTTTTCAAACTGGGGAGATCATTGGTATTATACCATGCTTTCAAAATTGCAGATCTTGAGGCCCTACAGAATTTTACAGAATTCTGATTAATCTCAAGAAAACATTTGGGAATCTGTTTTTCCTTCAAAATTTCCCAATGATGATAGCTGGTTTGGGGGATTCTACTGCATTTCAGAATAGAAAGAACTTTTAAGTCAAAGCAGAGTAATTTTAGCTCATAGTGATTAGTTATGGAATCTTCACCCAAATATTCTGTCTTCTTTTTGTTTTTAAATTTTTTAATTGTAGATGGACACAATATCTTTATTTATTCATTTATTTATTCTTATGTGTTGCTAAGGATCAAACCCATGCAAGTAAAACTAACATGTGCAAGGCTCTATCACTGAGCTACAACCCCAGCCCCGATATTCTGTCTTCTTTAAGCTATACTTTTCTTATCTGTAAAGTA